AAATGTTTTGCATTGTAACTAGCTATAGAAATCTAAAAAATTTAGTCAATCGAATCAATTGCATATGGAATGATACCGGCTGGTTTCTTCCATCTTGTCGATGACTGAAAATTCAATGGGCTACAATTCATTAGTTCTGTAATTAGCTAACACCTAAACTTTAAATTTTACAGTTATAACACCCAAGAATTTCATGTCACATCGAAAATACCACCATTGTAACTTAGAAAAAAAAAACAAATGAGTAATAATGTAACGAGCAACCAAGTACCTGACAATGCAATAATGATCATTGACGTAAACATGCCATGGTTAGTTATCATTACTTATAAGTAAATAAAAGCAAGTAGGAGTGCACTTATGGGCTTATATTGAGTAAATCATTTAATTTTTAATTAAATTCATGCTTACTGTATACATGTGCAGCTGCCCATATCAAGTTCTAAATTCTTTGAATATCATGACAATGAAAAAATTTCTTCGAACTCTTTGATAAGTGACAAAAATAAATTTTATGCTACAAACATGGAAATACAATCCTACTGGCCTCTCCTAAGCTTTTCTCCATATTAGATATGAATGTGAGATCCTGTAACTCAATATTAATTGCTTCAGCCAATTGTTCATAAAATCTTCGCCATGTAGTCTTTGAATCATATCCAGCCATAGCAACTGCAAAGGTAAACTAACCATTATTGCCATCCAAAGAAGTTTTGGATAATAATACATCTAAATATTTTGATTTTAGGTGGCAAGCATCAATTCTAATTAGATGTCGGCAACAAACTATAAAACCATCAATACAAGTGTTAAAGATCATAAAGAATCTCTTAAATGAATAGTCACAATCATCATGTGTATACAATATGTGTACCAAGATTCTTAATAATAAGTGTTTGGAACCCACTTGTAGTTGTCATCAACTACAACTATAATACATGCGGCTTCGTCTCATGATTGCCCCAGCTTCATATATGGTATATTTTTTATACCATCATATTTTTGTAAATTGATCCTTGGACTTCCAAAGCAACGTGTCTTGTTGGTTTTTTCCTTTTAAGTATCTAAGAATCCACTTCACCACCTTCCAATAATGTTTGTCTAGATTACTCATGTACCCTCTGACCACTCCCACCACAAGTGTAATATCTGGTATTGTACATATCATTGCATACATCAAACTTTCAATTGTTGAAGCATACAGAGTTCTTCTCATCTAATTTGCTCTATTTCAGACTTAGTTAATTATTCCTTAAATAGCTTAAAGTACATTCTCAACATCTTCTGCCTGAGAAAACTTCAAAGTATCTACACTCCAGTCATTTTATATTAACAAATCGAGGAGTTTTTTTGTTGGACCTAAATCCTTCATTTCAAACTCCATCAATATTTGCTCCTTTAAGTCTTTGATCTTCTTCATATCCGTTCCCGCAATTAGCATGTCATTCAAAAGTTAAAAAAAAAATATAACAATTATCAAATTCTTTAATAAAGCAACAAAATTTGCCTAACACTTTGTGTCCCAACTGTATGGCATAAACCTATCAAATCTCCTATACCACTTTCTTGGGATTTGCTTTAAACTATAAAGACTCTTCTTCAGTTTACAGACTAGCGAAATTTGATATCTCTGTGGTTGCATCATATACAATTCCTCTTCTAAGCCACCACCATCTAAGAAGTTTGTTTAATCCATCTGCTTCAGATGTAAATCTTTC